AGGAAGGAAATTTACTCTATCCCAGCCCAAACCAGGACAATATTCCATGTCTACTGCTAGAATGCACATGTAAAAATGGCCTGAGGAGGTTAGAAAGACACAAGCTGGAGTTCTTGAACCTCCTCGATCCAGTGCTCCATGCCTGCTGGTACCTCTTAGGGTGTAAAAGCCCACAAGAATGAAAGTTCCTTTTTTGACATTTGTAGTGGTTGTACTGTCTGTGTTCCCTTTATGCCATGACAATTATCAATTTATATAAAGCTTAAATAGCTGTAAACAAGTTTTGCATTATTTTATTCCCTCTTCTCTTGCTTTTTCAAATTCTGGAAAAATACTTAAAATACTTTATCAGGTAATGCACTATTTTGAATTCTGAACAACTAATGAATGTCTGAGAAAATGTACAGGATGAAATAATTTTATGACACAAACAACCTGGTACAGGTCAACTCTTGACAAACAGTAATACCTTGTTAAGCCCTAATGTAGCACCATTTAAATTAGACACCTCAGTAAATGTTAAATGTACTCACTTTTGAAACAGAAATAATTTGAAGCCGAGTCTATTTTTCAAACTAAAACTTTGAGAAATATATTTTTTCCCTTCTGAGCGGTCTAAAATAACAGTATAGGGCATGTGAATATAAATTTTGTATTTAATTATAAGCATAGGCAAGGATCTGTGTGTGATACAAACTTCAACTTCTTTTTAATTTGCTATTATCTCTGCCTAATTAATATAGTAAAAAGGTTGTTGCAGAAATTAATGTATGACCCCAATGCAGTCTTGCTAATATCCTTATATCCAATAGATCTTGTTCTCTAATTCCCCTGGAAGAAGTGGGGCATGTCAGATAAATTAAATGAAAAGAACAGATGTAGATTAAGAGTGATGTAAATTTCAAGCCTGCACTTTTAATTTCACTAAATATTATTTTCCATCTTCATGATCACATTACATTGAAATGTGGAACTTCAATTTCCTCTACTATTTCATTTAATAAAACCTTTGTCTCATCTGAGCTCTTGAAGAGATGTTAGCTTTAAATCACATTGACTTCACCCTATCCAATTTACATATGCTGAAGAAATAAAAGTCTTTTCAAGAGTTGCCATGGGGCTTCAGAGCCTCAAAGGAGTATTAAGACCTTGAGTTTAATGTGAACTGCCTCCAACACAAAACACAAATCTTCCCAACAGAATACTAATGGTTTAGTGTACAGTTACATTTTCTGTGCAAGTTTGTAAAGTAAATAAACAATCCACATATAGGGAAAAAATAACTAAATTATGTCTGAGCGTTTGAATTTAGAACTGTACCAGCTGGAAATAAAAAATGCTTCCTATAGGCCTGTATTACATAAGAAATGTTATGTGGTTTGACAGAGGTACAAAATAGAACACAGGATAGATTAAAGGGGGAATTCAGAGCTCCTCCATTTTTTCTCTCAGGACTGTATACCTGCAGAATAGCATTAGGAGTTTCTCAAAGTCACTGCAAATATACATATAAAATGTTTTGCCTTAGATCTATATAAACAGAAATGCTCCCACACTACATTTACTTTGTTTTGCTTGCATAAACATTTTATATTTATTTTGTTTCTTAGAAATCTTAGTCTGTTTTAAAAGATCAATGGACTTCATTGCATACAATAACAAAGGGGGAAAATGTTTTCTTAATATGACCTCAATCTCATCTCTATAATGGATTTCTCATTATAATAATTATATCCCATTAAAATGTCAGAACTGGTTTAAAAGATATCTAAGAAGACATGTCTGTTTGAGCAAACTAGCAGGCAGAAACCTTGATGTTAATTTACTTGGCATCATTTAAGGGAAATGGAGAAGTACAGTACATAAAATGAGAATCCTTGTGTGACACAAAATGCAAGCAGATTGACTATATATAGTATTAACTTAACACTTAAATAATTGGTCAGTCATAAGTAATTAGGGAGCATTACAATTACACAAAGAGAAGGTTTGTTTCAAGTGGAGAGCAGAGTGAATGATTCAGAGTGAATGCTCCTACATGACAAATCTAGCCCTGTTTTCTGCTCAGGAATTATCTGGAAGCAGGCAGACTTTTTATTCATTTGTTTGGGTGAGATTGCAAACCCCCTCCTCTTACAGGAGTCCTGTTTCTGGGGTGGTGGTGTTTCCAAGAGCAGTTGCTCAGTGTGAATGGGAGGTGCTCAGTCTCACCCTTTGTTAAGAAAAAGTGTCTGAACTACTTGGGCCAAAGTCTGACAACCTCTTCACACAAAGAATCAGCTTCTACCACAAATGATCCCCGTTGTTTCAGTTCAGTAAGCTCATCCTGGTCTGGCTCTCTATTTAGAATGATTTCCATTCCTCGGGTGTTCGTGAATAAGTCACTGTGACAGAGTTTCCTGCCCTTTGTTATCCATTATGTTTTGTGTGCAGTCAGACCCTGATTCAGCAAGTGATTTCAGGATGAATTGAAAGAAGCCCCGTAAGCTGAGTTAGGAAAGATAGGCACACGCATTGTGTTTTGTTGAAATCTCACTTTCCTCACCCATGCTGCTTTGCTGTTCACTCAGGTGTCTCTGGTATAATGTCCTTTAGAGACAGAAAGCACTTTATAAATGCTAAATCAAAGCAAACAGCAATAACCAGAAAATATCAGATTCTTTTATACATTGACCGTTGACAAGTCAATACTTTTAATTCTTGTCTGTATCCGATCAATTTAGAAATACAATTTAAAAGTATTTATAGATATTTTTGTATTAATAAATAATGATAGGATGAAAATAGTATAATTTCCTATCAATATAATTCTGGATTTTATATTTTTAAAAAAAACAACTAAAAACCTCATTTTGAACCCAGTCTTAGAGTTCTCACAAAATATCCCTACTCCTGTGTGTGTACTATGCAAGTGGGCTATTAGAAAGTAACTTAGTTTTAAAATAAATTGCACACAAGCTGACTTCCAAAGATTAATTGGTAATAGAGACAGAACTCATACTTCTTATGCAGGCAAACCTACCATTGACTTAAAGTACATTTCACTGAATGAATGGCATGTTGAAACTCCTGGAAGGAAGCCATGTTACAAAGAATTGAATTGAATGAACCCAGAAAGCTCTTTTAAGCTTGGAAAGCACCCTACTGAATTTCTTGCCAAATGCAGTATTTGCTATCACATTATATAAAGAGTAGCCTGCACTCCTTCAGCACTGGCTTATTAGTATTTGCCAGTCTGCAGGGTGCAGACAGTGTAAACAGCATCCCTGATCCATCCATCTTCCACAGGCAAATCCTGTCCAGGTTGTCCCAGTATCCTGGCCACGCTAGATGCCATTGATCTGTACCAAGTGCTGTTTACTTGAACTGGACCACAGACTCCTTGGTCTTCCCTGCCAATGTTTTCATTTTGACACACGTGTAATTCTTTTCTTTATTATTGCTGCAGCATCATACAGTGGCACGTAGTAGGGTGGTAAATGTATTTAACGTGTTTACGTATTTCCTGATACTGGAAATCTTTTGCCTTCTTAGAACGCCAGATAAAGTTAATAGGGCAAACCTCCGTAAACAAGGCTAGTTACCTTGGTGATTAAGTCCTTGAAATGGATTGTCAGAAAGTAGTTTATTTATGTTACCAGATTAAGGATGCATTTCTCTGTCAGATGTTTCAGCTACTGTGAAGTAATCTTCCTACTGATAAGCACAAAGAGCTGGACACGTTTGTTTCTCATTCCTGTGTATATGCTTAAATGGACTTTTAAATTGCTCTCAATTAATGACTTGAATTTGAGATTTTTAACTTAATGTTTCTTATTAATTCTTCTGTTGTGTTTGCTAGTTTTTCTAATTAGCTTCAGTTCTGTTCTCTAAATGATTTGTTTTTTACACCTAAACAGATAACCGATAGGTGGTGACAGCAGTACACTTCTTGATTTAACCCAGTTATGCATGGCTTAGCAGCCTGGGCTTTCTTTTAATGGTATAATTTCTTACAGTGTGAGCCTTAGTGATGTTACTAGAAAGAAAGAAAATACACTTGCTTTTAAAATTCAGCAATACTTATACTAGTATAAGTCTGGAATGGCTCAGAGTCTGTGGTAGTACACATAAGAAAGTAGCATAGTAGAGATTAAAACAGCCCAAGATTTAAAGTCTCAAAGTAATTGAGAACAAACTCTACAGAACAAAAGATACTGTGCTACAGCTTTTAAATCAATCGTTTTTCCAGTGCAAGATTCTGCATCTGCAAAACTCATATTGGTATTTATTAATTTACAAATTACAAATATCAGAAGACCCATTTCAGTATTGTATTAGGAGAATCTTATTGTGAAGCGGTGTAACGAAGGTCTGACCATTCAGCCTATACAGGCCTAGATATATAAACCTTTTGTGGAAACTAAAGATTATATTTAAAATATAATCTAGATCTATGATACTGTACAGGCAGTGTGTGAGTTAAATCTCACTATACTTAGAACAGTTAACCCCATCTGTTTCCCATTTCCTTACCCGGAGTTAGATTTTTGTCTTAATTTGGGAAACATAACAAGATAAAATTGACATGGTAATATCAATAGTTTCTATTTGATGTAACAACCTTCTCCTAGAGCTTTGTTAACAACCTCAGATGAAGTTAGTGGGAATTTTGCCATGCACTTTAATGGACCGCGGTATTAAATTCTTCATTAATATTTCACAGTAGGTCATTTTTCAGTACTGGAAATCATTTTTACAGCTATTTGCTAAGAAACAGAGTAATTTTAAAAAATTCCTTTGTATTTGAAGTGTTAAATTTTACTTCCTTCCTTAAGATGTGGGAAATGTTTTATTGACATACACTCTTGATCCCATTTTTTTACATTTTGAAATGTAAATTTTCATTAAGATTGTGAAATGTATGAGTTATTGTGATCCATTTATAGTGCTGTATGCTTTATTTGAAAATATGAAGAAGTTTAGAAAGTCTGCTGATGTCTCATTACTCTATTTTGCAGAACTCTGCATGCCAGCAAAGAATAAACACGTTTCCCACATTCTAGAAAATCATGACAAAAGTCACAAGTAGTCATTAATCTACAGGATGAACTGAAGAAAGTGTTCACTTGGAGCTCCACTTCTGTGTTTGGTTATAAGGCGAAATTTCAGGAACCTTATAACACAGAAGGAAAGAAGAAAATAAAGACACAGACATACGTAATGCCAGATGACAAAAATCAGTCCAGTATTTCAGCAGGTAAGAAGCAACATTTAAACTGCTGTAAAATGGTCCTGAATACTCATCAGGACTGGTGTTAAGCTATGGATTTGAGATATGGTGTATTATGTTTGACTAAGAACTGTGATAATTCAGCAGCTATATTGAGGAGTACAGTTATGTAGATTCAGCAAGAGCATCAGAAACTTCTCCATCAATGACTGGCATTGGTGAAAATCTCAGAATTTCCATCCTGCATGAAACACAATATTTGTTTTGGGCCATTCAATATGTATCATTCTAACTTCAACTTTTTATATTATAATTAAACTGTTGCATTCCAATAAGCCTTATCAAGACACTTAATGCAATTGTTTTTAAAGAAATGTGGTCAAATTGGTACATTCCTGGGGAAAGTTTCCTGCAAAAGAACATTCTTTCGGATTTTTTTCTTCTATTTTACTTGTTCTTGCTTTTTACTTTCTAGAACACTGACTGAATGTAGAATACTACACAGGAAGAATGAAGGGCCATGGTTAAAAGCAGAGCTGAGAAAAAAACATCTTCCACTCAAATAAAAAAGCAACAGAGATACACAAGAAGAAGCCAAAGGAGAAGGTACAAGGATTTTAGAGCTGTTATTAGTAGAATTTCCTGAAATATATATTTCTCTCCTTTTTTGTCATATTTTTCGTGTTCTTGTTTAGATCTGGAGATTGAAAGAGATCGGGCACTTATACACACTGGAAACGTGTTCTAAGAGGTGTTCTTTTACCATAAGATAAAAGATTTGCTTATGCTTCGAAATACAGTTTTCTAAGTCTCTCTCTTTTTTTTTTTATCCCAAAGGATGTAATATCTGCCCTTCAGTGTTCAGTACACATGATTTTTCAAAAAGTCCACTAGTATGATCATGATAAATATGAAGTACCTCCTGTTTTAAAGCCATAAATGCAAACTCAAAGTACTAATAATTTGGGGGCAACGCTACAATTAACACTGCAGTGCTTGAAGGTTTAGCATGGGTACTTGCCAGATGTTGTTTCTTAATATATTACTAGAGTGTTATTCCTGCTGGCCGGTATGTTGTTAATACATCATGTGAGCAATGATCCCGCTGGCCATTACTGTGTTTAATGCATCATTTAGTGTCATTCACTTGATTCATTAAAATAGCAGCAACTACCAGGAACCCATTAAAAAGCTTCAAAGTCTGTATGTTTTATTCCAAACAACTGCATATTTTTTTAAAGAATGATTTGGAGGTAATGGAAGAAAAAGAAAATCTAATGAATAGGACTAGATGCTAGTTATGGCCCTAATCCAATACCTGTTGAATAAGAATCCTTTCATTGACATCAGTGGACTTCAAAATTGGACTACGTGTCTTAAGTTACAGAAATGTCACAATATTATTTTTGTTAGCCTTTGGAAGCTAGATTAAATGCTGGAGACTTCTGGAAATGATGGGATTCTTTTATATTTAATGTGACAGCAAGAAATTAAGGCTAAAGTATCACTAAGAAGTAAGTCAGGCACTTTTCTATGAACGTATACATGTACATAAACATATTCAGGCACAGAGTTGTGGCAATTGCATCTGAATACTCATGTGGGCAAAATTTTGTATACAGAGCTTGCAACATTATGTTCAAAATTGACAGAAACACAATCCTTCTGAATTTTGTTATGTTTTTGTGGAATTTGGGGGGAAAGTGTATTTTTGTAAAATTATTTATGATAAATTACATATCTTTAATAGCAGAAGGATATTTTGACAAACGAAGACTCAAAAATTTTAGACAATACTGTTTTTTTACAAATCAACATCCTGTAAATCATATCAGAGCAATTCTCTTAAACATTCAAATGAATGGGGAGTAGATTATTACAGTCAGGTGTAGTAATTTGTAGTATAAAATTATGTCAGCTTTAACGACACCAGGACCGCAAGACTGAATTTTTATTTCTTGTTTGCTAGGTACGTATAGTTTTCCTGTTACTTAGACATAGATTTTGATCTCTGAAACATTTGTGTTTGTACACAATCTCACTCTAAAATTTTGCTCAGAAGCTGGGAGCTGTTGGAGCGCAGGAATCTGAAGTAGCTTGGAGAAAATATAGTCTCCTTACCTAATGAGTTTAAAACTGATATGGTAACACAAACCTAGTGTAAGTCCCATCAGGATTAAGAAAATGGGAGTCAACCAGTGCTTGCTAGGCACATTTAAAATAATATTATTTTCAGGAGAAAACAGTTGAATGAGACTGTAATTAAAGTCAAGCTCTCAGAAAACTATACAAACCTGTAAAGGTCAAATTGACTTTTACCAGACCAATATGTTTTATTGATAGCATCTGTTAGGATTTTTTAAGTGTAAAATTGATTCACAATCTTAACATAGTAGTTTAGAAGAAACCTTTCTAGGAGAATAATATTATTTTCAGGAGAAAACAGTTGAATGAGACTGTAATTAAAGTCAAGCTCTCAGAAAACTATACAAACCTGTAAAGGTCAAATTGACTTTTACCAGACCAATATGTTTTATTGATAGCATCTGTTAGGATTTTTTAAGTGTAAAATTGATTCACAATCTTAACATAGTAGTTTAGAAGAAAGCTTTCTAGGAGGAACTGTGAAAGGAAGGTATTGAGACTCTACTACTAGGGATTGATATATTATAAATCATTATGTCTTAACCATGTCTCAGGCAGCGCTTTCGTAACCTTTGAAAATTGTGATTGACTGGAGCAATGGTTAATGTTCCTGCTGCTGACTGAGCATTTAGGAAGCTCATATGTAACCTTAAGAGCGAGATTGCACTTTTAAGGCTCTGCTCTGCACTGTGTTCTCAAGGGAATTTCTGGGCGAGATTCTGCTTTGCAGGCTTTGCTTAGACATTAGCAGGAATATGGTCTTTGCAACCCTAGGTTGATACTTGGCACACTCTCTCTATTTGTCGACTGATCCATAAGGGATATCTAAGCTGTCATTTGATCTCCTGCCACCTTTCACTTTCTGAGGAGTGAATTTCACCATCTGGTCAAGAATGTGCTAGGAGACTGCATTTATGCAGAGAGAGGAGAGGATATGGGAAACAGAAGGTCTCTGTGCTCTTTTTGTTCTTGCACATGTATGTGTAGGCCAGTAATAGTCTCTCCTTTAACAATCTGGGTAACTGCATTGCTGCCCCTGCCCTCACAGAGGTTTTCATGCATAAGGAAAGTAATTGCATCAATAAAGCTGTTGGATAAAAACACAAATAAAGATCTAGACTGTCTGCGCTCAGGCTGCATGCATTCACCTGAAATCCTCAGGCAGCAAGTAGCTGAATTTGTGCAATAATAAACAAGCAAACTGTGTAAGTATTAACTCTGCAGGGAAGAAAACAATGTGGAGTATATTTATAAATCCTGCTAGGACGTACTTTTTGAGATATGGATTGTGTTTTTCATTTTAGATTTCAGAACTGCTCAGCTTTTCTTTCTATATTCTCATGCATATATGAAAATGAAAATTAATTTTCTCAATAAATAAAAAAATACTTTGTATTTATAATTTTCAGTTATTTTCAATCTGGGAAATGCTTTTACCTCACAAATATTAATATATAAGCTTGACAAATAGTCTTACTGGACAGCTAGTGTAAATTTTTCAAACTGGAACTGAAGCAGAGAAAGTCTGTCCCGGTGGAAAAAGAATTGGCCTGTGAAATCAACCTTTCTCTCAAAAATGCACTTAAAGATAGAAATACAATTAGAAATCCTTGAGATTGCATCAAGACTTAGGAAACTTAAGAACATAGTCATCACCAATAGCTAATTCATCAAATAAATAAGGTAGACTTAAAAATAGCTTAAAATTATGCCTGCTACTTACTGAACACATGCCCATAATTTACCGAGTCAGTGAAAGGACTGGGCTAAATAATCTCCAATAATAGTGAGTGTCTGGAGGTGATAATTCTGAAATACAGAAAAATGAAATTCCGAGGGGTCATTCTTTTGATATCTAAAGTATCTCTGATATCTTGACATAAACGTGGATACGTAATGAAGACAGTCCAGTTATTGCTCTAGACTGCTTGCCTCATTTCTGTTAACAATTGTGTAAGTTAACCTCTTTAAAACATGCATTACTCTGGTAGCCTTTTCTTGCATGAAGCAACAGTGAGTTGAGTTGAGGGGCTGAACAAAAGGACCCATAACCCAGGAGTAGTGACTACTTGTGGTAGTTCCTATGATTTCTAGGGAAACCTGGAAGCAGCAACAAACCCACTGGCTTTCATGTAGTCCAAGCAAATATTTCATTTTTAGAACTTAAAAAAAGTATTCTTTTTTTCTCTACTTGTCACTGGTTGTAGCAGAGGTCAAAAAAGATGTTCCCTGTGGTGAAAAAAAAATGGCTAAATCAGTTTTATCTACCTTCATAATTTCAGTGAAACAGAAGCCCTGCTATAAGAGAAACTCCCTAGATGGCTAAGGGTGAACAGGAGGATGTAGAGCATCTCTGCAGAACGCATTCTGAAGCCCTACGTAAGACTTCCCTCTTCCTCTTTCAGTATTACTGCCCTTCTGCCCACTCTTTCGTGAGCAACTCTGGCTGACAATATTTCTCCTTGACCTTAACTAATGCCCTGAGCCCTCTCTCCCAAGATCCATCCTCCAGAAGATGTAGAAGTGCAGGATGATGGACCTTGGCTTTGTGACAGGGAATGGATGACTTCAGATCTGACCTCCTAATTTTGAACCTGGCACGCCGTTCCTCAATAAATCGAAGGATTTTGGTATCCCTTATTTGTGGATCATAGGACCTGCACGTTCAGTGGACACAGCCTGTACTTCATTGTGAATATACATGTGTATCATAACATGTTGTTCCTACTTTACATTTTAATACCATATCTATTGTATACACATATATGTATATACATAAAACCTTCCTGCAAATAGGACTGCATGATTAACACCTGAAAATTATCTAGCCATGAGACAGTGCATCTCCTATATATTCTAGCTTTGATAATAAATTACCATTAACATTTTTGCTGAAACAAAATCTGTGCCTTTAAACTAATGAAACAGCTCCTGTTAGCTTCCTTTTCTTTTTAATAAAAAGCAAAAAAGAAAAAGAATTTTTATTGCAAGATACTCATCATGCACATTCTGGCAATGCACTCTAACAAGGCTAACTGCAAATGGGACTGATTCTACAGACTCTTATAATAAGTAACCCCATTCACTTCACACTGCATAAATTGTATTTCTTTGATATATGACTATTTTCATCGATTGCTGGAGCTTCATGTATTTGGTTACAAGAACATATGTTTTATCCCTTTTCTCTTTACATAAATATACCTGATTTGCTTCTGGGATGACAAATTCTTTTGTACCTCATAACATTGGTTTGAATTAATATGCAGGGAAGACAAATAGATCCATTTTTTCTCTTTAAAATCAGTAGCACTACTTCTTTGGGCAAGGTTTCAATTTTATTTGTCATTCTTAGCACATGAAACCAAAAGTGTTTCATCATAATCTTATCCTTATATTTTGCAAAAATGCAAAATCTTTGTTAAAACAGTAGAAGTCAACAATATATGTCTATAGATTTATTTTGTTCTGAACAGCATGCTAGAAATTATGGTGAAACATTAATTCTTTTTGCTTGCTTTTTTAATTAACCACTTAATTTAGTATTTCAAGGAACCACAGTCTATGGCTAACAAGAATGTGGTGATTCCTTTACTGTAAGAAAGTCTAGTTGGCTAGTAATAAATCTTTAATTTCTTGCATGTTTATTTAATGTGGATTAATGGTTTATGTCTCATTGATCTTCACAGTCTTTATTAAAATAAATTTAGCTATAGAAAAATAAGAAATCTACACATTTCATTTTAAACTAGTATATAGAGTAATAGATTCAAGAATGTGTGTTTATAGGATAAGAGAAATAAGTCAGTGTGTTTTTAAAGAGATTATTATGCATCAGTATATTGCAGAGCCTACTGAGACAATATACCATATATAGTATAAAAATAATATGTCGTCTGCGGTGTTTATGTAGTATGTTTAATATTTTACAATTCAGTATGTCTGTATGTTAAGCTAAGAATACTGGTCTGTACCCAGGGTAAAATGTTTTTCTGAGATTCAGTTTACGAGTTTACGCAATGCAAAGGGAGTCTCATAAATTAATGTTTTAAATGAAAAGATAAATTGGTTTAGCAAGAACGTTATGGTAGTGCAAGGTAGACCGTGCACAGGATGCACAGTCATAAGGGTAAATAAATCTGTGCTTTCAATCACACAATGTTACTTAAACAGCAGGGTTAAAGACTAATGTTTGTTATGATTATATTTCCATTAACCACCCACTGATGGCCCCAGACAGGTTTTCATAAAATTTGAGTCACTACTGTACGCAGAGATCTGTTGACAAGTGACTAACCCTTTACTGTAGGTATGCTATAAGTATCCATGTTCCCGCGGCAACCATGACCTCTTCATTCTGATGATGTTCTCAGTATTTCTAATGTTCTAGCTTTAGGGGCTCCTGAATTTATATAGAGATGCTTTATTATGGAAAGATCTTGGTGATTTACTTGGTGAATAAGTATCAATCAGAACAGCAAGCTACCTAACAAACCTCTAACTTCATGGTTGGTGGTACTAATTTTAATTCGATTGCACATCATAATAACAGAAAAAGGAGTCTGTAGAACCCAGATTTGAGATTTGCATACCAGCCATTTTGCATGCAAAGGAACTGTGAATTCAAAGGACTTTAGCACATGCTTTGCAGTATCACTGCCAAAACCCCCATAACTGTGGATATTTGCTTGTGCAAATTTATGATTTGCGACTCTTTCCTCTTAAGGGCTCAGAATTTCTGGGTTTAAATTAGTTTTGCATGCAGATGGGTGTCCATACACTCTTGGTATTGTGTGAGTGCCACGGTTCACTCAACAGTTCTGATCGTAGATTTTAAGACTGAAATGCTATACCTGTTACTGGAAGACCTGCTTATGAAAACATCCTATTTCTCTGAGGTGATCTTCTCCTGAACTCAAGAAAAGATAAATATTGACTTCTTTTACAGTGGATTACATACGCAGAGTTTAATAGCTAATTAATTATCCACTTTTCCAGGTGAGGGACAATGTGTAATAAACTGAATCATTCTTATTAAATAACATGTTCATTTTCAAAGGTAATGTTGGGGTATTCATTCGTTAAGAAGCAATATATCTTGTACCTACTGCACTGCAAGGTTGAAGGCCAGTCAGTTTATTAACCCCAAATAGCTTTATAACCTATTAAAGATAAACTATATTTGAATTATTGATTAATATTGCTATATTTTAGTGTGCTCTGTCCACTTATGTCTTTCTAGCCTTTGTCATTCCTATTCCTCCCAAGCCCAGTGGGGCTCTTTGTGGTAGTTTACAAACCCTCATCCCAATGAATAATTAACACTTATTCAATTTGATTTGTTTTAAAAGATGACATTGGGAATGTATATGTTGTATATGTATATGTAAATGTATATGTTGTAAATGGGAATTTCTGCATTTCTTTTCTGACCCTAGTATGGACTTACTGGGTGAATGACTGTTATCTTTCCTTTCGTTCATCATCTGTACAGTACAGATGGTAACAGGCCTGTTTTTTAGAGTTGTTTCAATGGCCAATTAATTATAATATTTTGATTTTAAGCTGCTCTATTATTACTCCCTGGATAAATGCTTCACCTGCTGAATAATGTACCTGGCATTCTCAGGAGTAGGTGATGGTGGCATCAGAATATTATCTGTAAGAATTATGGTATTTTATCAATTGTCATGCCACTGAAGCTGTGCATAAATTCTTCCACAGAGGAAAATTACAGGCATATCAGTCAGTGATCCCATAAAATTGAAATGTGCTACAACTGTCAGAGGATACTCAAGAAACAATGAATCACTAAAAAGTAAAAATAAAGAATTCGTAGTGTGTTTTGATAACAATTTAGAGTATTTAAGTCATCTTTCTCAAGGTATGGAATGTATTCAGGCCACCTCTAGTGAGTGGAGAGGTAGTTTAGATGTGATTTTTTTGACCATATGTGGTTTTAATATTTTTAATTTTACCTGTTCCACAAATATTCCAATAATAGCAAGTACATTGTCTGATATCTATGACCTGGTGAGATACTATGATAATGAAGTCCAGTAGCTTAATAGTATTGCTTTACACTTTCATACTGCATCATTTGTTACATGTTCACATTGCTGCTGATAAAAATATAATTGACAAAAGTTTTACCTTTAGGGCTGAGATTTTTAGTATAAGTTAGTCAGGCCTGGTAAATGTTGTTCAATATTCTGTAGATTACTGCTGTCGTTTATTACTAAGGAAAGTGGTTTATCATTCCTCCATTGAACATTTCGTGCTAAGAAATTATGATGCCTAAAGTATTCTTTTTATGACTCTCAGCCGTTTGAGGCAGAACTCTTCATCAGGCAGAGCCCTGATAGGAATTGCTGCTTTGCTCCTCTTCTTTAAAGTGAACTTGCCAAAAGACCAGTAATTAAAATTGGTCTTGGTTAGAATTCCAAGATAGTACACTAGGTTAAAATACCTTGGGAAATTCTGTGTAAAACAGAAGAACTAAAAGGTTAAAAAATAAATTTCCACCTTGTCCAAAGGATCCTGGCAGAATGACATTTGTTTCAGTCCTGCTGAGCAGTCTGGCAGCTTGGGTTGGGAGAAGGGGTTGCTGAATTATGCAAACTCCAAATGGTTTTCTCAGTGTCTTGAGGAATGATTCTTCCTTTCCATCCCTTTTAAAGGTTGGGTTTAGGTCTGTTCCTTGAAATACACAACTCTTCACTCTCCTTTTGAAGATATATTCTCACACCTGAAGTCACAAGAGAAAGAGACAGCCTTTCTCCTCACTTTCTAACTACGCTTTTTTCCCTCAAACATATAGAGTAAGTTAAGAAATAAATGAAAGAAATGTTTCTCTTTTATAATAGCTTTTTAGATACACATGTAGACTGCCATCATAAACAACTCTCTTTCCTGGTTTCTATTTGGAGAGGAAGTACTTTCAGCTTTACCGAAGAAAAATAGTATGCTATTTGGTTTTGGAGTCCTTCATTCTTTATACAGTATTTTTGCTATAATCTGTTTTCATGGTTTTATTTTGCATTTCATCATTCTCTAGGTTTATTGACTTCTATCTCTATTTATCCAATTATTATTCATATTAAAAAGAATGTACTTGATATTATTTTTATTATTTTAATTGCTTTCCTTTCTTATTTTTGCCTTCAATTCAGTGGATCCATGGCCAAAGTTACACCTTTTTATAAGGGAAGCATTGATTTTTTTGTCATCCAAATTTCCATAAATTGCCAATCATAATTCACCTTTTTTTTGTTTATATTTTTCCCTGTTGTCAATTTTGCCTGTAATTTTCCTTTGCTCTCTGCCATCAGAGGTTTCTACCACGCAGTCAGATTTAGAGTAGCTCAAATTTCTTTTGATTACTTCTCATCTCTTATTATCTGAAATATCCAGTTTGAAATATTTGGGCTCCCTGAAGATGTGTGTTCAATCCTACCACAACCATAGCAGACAGTTATCCTTCTGAGATTAATAAATTGCATTCTATGAAGTTCACAGAGTGTGTTGCAGAGAGGGTTTAGCTGAAACTTTCAAGAATCAAATCCTGTCTTCTCTGTTTAATTACTGGAAGCAACATAATCTTTCTGTAGGATTTGAGATTTATTCCTGTGACTTGATTCTTTTCTCCTCAGCATACTGGAGTTTGCTATCCAATAAGTTACTACGTCTGCTTACCAATAATCACCATATTTCAACACTATTCTATGTAAGAGAACAGCTTGTTTGGTGCAGTTTGTAGTAGAAGTGTAAAATCATTTGAGTAATTACAAAAATAAGTTTCTGATGTGTTGTCCTTAATGGTTTTTAATAATTCATGCTTATTTACAATCTTACTTGTTTTTAACTTCAAATAGAAATAGCAAATGAAAAGTAATATTAGAAAAGTCACTACCATTAAATTTCTGTGCTTGTCATGTCGCCTTACATATTTGAATGTAGAGGGGTTGTATAATACAACAGGTAATGTTTATGTGGTGCAACTGAGGTCAGTAATTAATCCTACTTTAAACTCTGTCACTATTGCAGTGGCATTTAAATTGTGCTACTAAGAAGTCTTAATAAAGGCAGCACAGAAAAATAGCATGACAGTTAAACGTTTTAACGATACATACTAAAGTAATGCTACTGATTAGATTCTTTGCTAATTACCTTCTGCTACTTCCATTGGTTATATTTCAACAGAATAGACACACTTATTTACAAATAGCATTGCTTTTTAAGATGCCCCTCATTGCTGAATTCCTATAAGCTCAAGACAGAAGAAAAGTTTTTGAA